TTTTAGAACGAATGGCATTTTGGTACATCTCTTGTTTGTAGCATGCGGGGTGCCGTAGTTCATCAAAAGGAGAAAAGGAGCATAAAAGGAGGATGGGAAAGCAGAAAAATGAAGTCCATCAGGAGTTACACCCAAGGGAAAGAGCAGAAGTAGAAATAATTGATAATATTTGAAATTGGAAAAGGATAAAAAGCAGCAGCAACAAATGCTACTGTAGGCGTTGGAATGAAAATAATGTTTTTGAGATTGTGTCTTGTGTTTTTATATGTCTGTTTAATGTAGAAAGGAATTGGAAGTCAAATTCAAGATGGAGAAGAAGCATTAGAATCTAGGGGGAGTAAAAGAGCTGAGTTGCAGTAAAGGTAAACAGCTGAGCAGTGGATGCATTTAACTAACATTCTCTCTAAGTATTTATATTTTTGCAGGTCCGATTATTGAGAAGCAAACGTATTTCACACTGCATTATCTGTACAGTATCTTAAGGTCTTTTGTGACCAGTTGAATAAAAGAGTATCCTAAGTTTACATGTCCTTTAAACTCTAAGCCCCTGTCACATATATTATGATATCCTGAACTTCTTCAGTCCCTCAGAGAGATCCCATTATGATGACCCCAGGGGGCATCCAATGGCACATGCCAACTGCTCAGTGCCTTTGGTGCTGCCAGGTGCCTCAGTGAACAGCAGAGTTCTGCCTGTTTTCATCAGGGGGCCTAACCTGAGCCCTCCTCTGCATGACTGACAGCTCCCAGGGAAGTTGGATGGATATAGATCTCTTTCAGACTCTTGTACTGCTATTTCAAATTGTCTAATGAGCTCAGAACTTAGGTACAGGCTCATACATAAGTTAAAGTACAAAGATGGTTTCATTCTGGATTGAAGATACGAACTGTCACTTGGGTGTTTTATGAAGTCTTTGATGCTTATCAGGTAGTGCCCATCTTTGAACTGTGGAAGGGAACAGGTGGATGAAAACAGTTAAGTACCAAGTGCTCATGCACTGCACTCTGCAGGAGTAAGGAAGACCTGTAAGCATGTGCTTCTCTTCTGCAAACCACTGTTTGGCACAAAATGCAGAGGGGCAGTAGCTGTGGCGGCCATGTTAGGTAAGGGCAGCAAGATGCCGCTTGGTTAATGGGCAGGAAGCCCATGAAATGTAATGATAGCCATCGTAACTGAGGGCAGAACAGCCTGCTCTATAGCCATCTTGGATAAGGGAAATGGAAGGGAGGTGACTTGTTTTTGTCCCCAAAAGAACTGGTGTTTGTTTCAGAAACGTGAGTTAGAACTTCTGCACATACCTGCCAAACATCTGGATTTTGGATTGAGTGTATGAGTTTGAAGGAAAAATCCTTTAGTTCTGATGACTTACTGAAAAATAAGATCTTCTGTTGAAGGGTGCTTGCTCAGAATTCTGAATTAACTGTGACTGCCTGAAGGAGGAAAACAGCATCATTATGGACAACTCCGTTCATATTTCTGAATATCGTGTAATGGTGATCTAGAGGGCTACCAAAACACTGTTAGGTTACAGTTCTTATTGAGGTGTTGTTGTGAAATAATTGCTTGGTGGGAAGTCTTGACTCAAGATAAGCTGTTAGGTTTGGAAGGAATGAGGTGTGCTGTGTGAAAGAAGTTCCGTTTGCAGTGTAAAAAGTAAGATGCAAATTGAAAATGAAAACACAATTTAAAAAAAGTGAAGGTGTGCAGTTTTCTATTGAATTTCTCATCCCTGGAACATCAGCAGTTTGCTAAATTGGTTTTTCATTGATTTCCAGGAGCACAACAAATTGTGTGGGTAATTGCACTATCTGCAGCGGTACCAAACTTTAAAACATGACTGTCTATAAAGGCATTTACTGTCATGTAGGGCAAAATGGGAACATAAAGCAAAGTTTGGACTTGTGTCCACATCCCAGTGTGACGCATTTTGCCAAGGAAGCTTTCCTCAGAAGCAGCAGAATTAAGCTGAACTGTAAAAAAGTGACAAATCGTTTCAGAGCAGTAGATTCTTGTGAATTTGTCGGTTTGGATGGTAACGGGCTATGGTGCTAAAGTTCAAAGCAATCACTTCTTGTCCACTAGAGGGCTGGGGGAAGACAAGCTGGCTCACACTCAGTTTGCTCATCTGTAGTTGCTTTTTAGGTGCAGTGATACATTATTCTTGAGTGGGACAAGTGGTCTCACAAAATAAGTTGAACAAGGGATGGTGATATTGCTGTGACAACGTGGTGATTCTCTGGGCAGTTTGTTAAAATATACTGCTTGTGGTTCTCAATAAAGTGTGCAATATTCTGAGCGTGTATGATAGCGAGCATCTTTGGACAGCCGCAGAACTGAATGGCGTCGTTTCAGGCACATCAGTACAGCAATAATCCTATTGGAATTTTCAGCTATGTGTTGTTTGTAGGAGCTGCTGAATGCGTATGTGTGCATTCTACAGATGTTTCCTCTAGCAGTGTATTTCTGTTATTGCATGAGAAGTAAATGGAGCAAGAATGACCCCTCTCAATGATCTGTACTGGAAAATAACAACAGGTATTAGCTAATAGCTTACTTGCTATTTCGTGATTGTGTTAATAAAGAGCCAAATTATCCTAAATAAAGACCTTTGAAAAAACAAAGCCTGGGATATATCTAAGAGCTAATTTACCTTTTAGTTTTGCCTGCGAACTTTGCTGCTCAGTGTTTGAAGCGCTGTGTGTGAACAGCTTTTGTCAAAGATTCGGGGTGGTCACACTGCTGTGTGAGTGAAAAGAATCTGACTGCTGATCTTTGCTTCCAGCTGCAGTGGTCACAGAATAGTTGTATAAGTTTACGAGGCTCCTCCTTCAGTCTCTGCAACTGCTGTTCAAAAGCATATCTTACAGTATATAATATCAATAATGCTATCAATAAAGCTATTGGTAACATAGGTTGTTTGAAAAATAAGAAAAAAAGGTTAAAAACAAACTGCTATTTCTTTGTATGTAAGTGCATTTTATTAGACCTTGTTTTCCAGTACAAATGAAGTATGGCTTTAAATTACAATCTGAAGGCAGGGGGGCCGGTGAGGTGATGGGGAGATGTTTATCCAGTTCTTTGGGGCTGTTCAGTGGAAAGGCATAGTCTGCTCAGTCACTGCCTGCTGAAGCTGATGGGAGTTGGGCAACCAGCACAACCTGTGCTGCTATGTGATGGAAAGCATCCTGCTGGGAGGTGGGATAGAGCAGTAGAGACAGCAGTTGTAGTTGAAAAAGGGTGGGAGAAAGCAAGATAAACTCAAATGCTGAATGGCTTGGACTTGTCCTGCTTAGGTCTATACTCGTTTTTATTCAAGGAACTGTTGTGACAAAGTATGCTTTTTCTAGAAGATAATCTCATCCAAACCATGCAGAATGAAAAGATGGCTGCATAACTAAGACAGGCTTCAGAGAGCTTTGTAAGCAAACCAATAGCAGAGCTGTGCAGGTGTAAGTGCAACTTGTAGCAAAGCATTCTCTGTTGATTGATTTCCAGCTTTGAAGTTTGTCCTGTGCTGATCTGACCCAGTAGAAGTTTCCTGATAGAGACAAGAGTCACAGTACTGAACATGACAATACTTACAATGCTTGCAGGAATATTTTAATTCTTGGACAATGGACATCTCAACCAACAAAGATAACCACATTTTACCAAAGCAAAAAGGTATCTGAATTGTCTGGGCAAAACTCAGTGTGAACTGATGGAGTACGTAGGGATCAGGGGATCTCGGGGAGGTGAGAATGCTTCTTCCTCAAAGGTCATCACTGTTCTCCAAACCTTTTCCTGCCAAAAGGTTACTCCTGGTAAGCATCCAGTGCAGGTAAGTTACTGACTGACGTTGAACAAAATGAGCAGGGAACATCAGTCAGAGAAATACTTTATTCTCTTCAGTTTGTGTGTCTACAATTACATATATCTAAGGGAATACTTCCCCCCCCCCCCACATGTGGAAAGATAAAAATAGAGGAGACTAAATAATAACATATATATAATAATAACTGCTGTTATTTTGTTGCAGCAATGATAGCAAGAATACAAGCCAGGGAAGGTGTGTAAGAAGCCATGACATAGTATCTTTTCTTAAACTAAGTGACAAGAGCTCTTAGCCAGGCCCTGTTTCAGCTCCTACATGGGACCAGCACATTAAGTACTGCAATAGAATCACTGCCACAACTTTGACTTGATGAACCCAAGCCTCAGTCTTGTGTTATTCTGCATAGCAGCCTTTTACAGAACCTGGGAGTGAGCAAACCTGTAACAGTTACTGAGTTTGAAATGGCAGGAAGGAACAAGAGCTGAAGCAGCTGCAGAGCCTTCCTGCACAGCCGCTAACGCTGCCGTATCTTACTGTGGATCTGCAGTTCGCTTTGCCACTAATGGCTTATGGTAACTGCAGGCTGCTGTGTCTTAAGCCATTACAATGATAACGTGATTTTGCCTGAGTTACACGTTTGTTCCTCTTTGTCTAGGAAATTGCGATAAAGATGAAAGCATCCTTTAGTTTCTTACGGTTTTATTCTGATAGTTAACCAAATGTTGCTAATGAGTCTTTAATGAAGAAGCGCGTTCCAATACTCCTGCGTCTCCCATTAAGGACGTAGAGCCGCGTTAGCTCGGCGGTAATATCTGCGCCTCCTGCGTGGGAGAAATGGCAGCCGGGCCGCTTCTGCTGCAGGCAAGCTTTGTAAGTAGCAGTCAGTCCGAAGTCCGGTGGGAAGCTAAGGCTTACAGGCCAGGAGAGGCTCGCTGTTTGTTGCCCGCTCCATGCGGTGCTCGGCGCTGCGCGCGACGTGCTGCCGTCCCGGCGCTGCCTGCCGCTCGCTCGGTGCCTCCCCGCTCCCAGCGCCGGCCCCAGAGCTCCGCACACCCCCGGCGGTGGTTCGGCTCTCGGCGCCGCTCGCCCCCTCCCCTCCGGCGCCCCGTGGTCTCTCCCGGCGGAGGCGGTGCGCGGTCACGTGTCTCCCGGCGGCGGGGCCGGGCCGAGGCGGCGGTGCCGCGGGGCGGGGGCAGCGCCATGGCGCTACGGGAGCGGGGCGCGGGCGGCGCCGCGGAGGCCGGGGAGGATGCGGCGGAGGGGCCGGAGCGGGGCCTGCCGCTGCTGCCCTGGGACCGCTTCTCGGCCTGGCTGCACTGCGTGTGCGTGGTGGGCTTCGACCTGGAGCTGGGCCAGGCGGTGGAGGTACGTAAGGGCCCGCGGGCGCCGTGGCTCGGGCACGGGGCCGCATCGCTGCTCCCCCAAACCCCTACCCCCCCCCCCCCCCCCCCTCCGGAACGCCCGGCTCTGCGGCGCGGCCCATCGTCCCGCCGGAATCGGGCACTTCCTCTGGGGCGGTGTTGCACAGCCGCGGGGGAAGCGCGGCCGCGTCCGGGAGGGAACTGCGGTGCTGCCAAGTGCGAAATCCCAGCCGGCCGCTGCTCCGTGCCGCTGCGCTTTGCAGCTCTGCGCGTGGAGCTGCGCGAAGCAGCCGATGGGGCTGAGAAATAAACTGCAGAAATGCCTCTGTTCGGCGCTTTCACGTCCCGATCTCGTGCTCATCTCGTGCCCGTGCAGAAACCGGTTGGGGCTATTTTGTTGTGGCTGGGACGGTGCTTTAGCAGGGGTGCGCGTTGACTGGCTTAGTGTTGCTGTTAGAATCCTTAATGCAGAGTTGATGTGTGTCAATGGCTCAGGGGAAATACAAGTAATAAACCAGCGTCCTATGGCAGCATCTGCGTTGTTCTCACCGAATGCTGGCGGCAAGGAGGGTGATAGTGCTGTGTAGCCCAGGACTGAGGCAGAGGCGCTGTGTGTGGGTGAGGGATGTTCAGGGCTCTGTGTGGTCAGCAGGCAGCTCTGGTAGCAGTCCGGTTCACTGTAGCTGAAAGCACACCTAAAATGAAACTTAACGTGTGTGGAATTACGGCCTGAGTTTTTTTAGTTACGTTTTTAGTTTCAGTTGGAGTCCTAAGAATGAGGTTACTTAACATTACAGCATGTTAAGAGATGCACAAATGCAAAGCAAATGCAGTGTAGTTTCAAACTACACAAAAGAAGTTGTTTTTTTTCTTCTCTGGAAACTGCTTAGACAGAAGCAGTGCTTTGCCAAAATCTGCAGCAGTAGGGCCTTTTCCTTACAGTTGCATTGCAGGGGAGGATTCTGAAGTAGCTGTTATATTTCCTCCAACTAGTCACAGTTTTCCACTTACTTTCCTTTCACTTACAACAGCGTGCACTTACATCTATAGGGAAGTTGGAATTTCTGGCATGGGCTCTGCTATGATGCTGCCTTTCAGGCCGTGTCCTTTCTTTTCTGTCCAGCATATGAGATGACCAGTTCAGGCAGGAACAACAATGTGTGTAAGAACACTGAAGTTACAAAGGGAAGCATTTGGAAAGCAGGGAACTATGGTCTCTCATCATTCTGCTCCTTTGTGTCTTAAATTGCACTTTTCTTTTTTATTTTGCATTTTCTTTTGTGCTTTTGATAGGCAGATTCATTTTCTGCACCTTCTGGCCTAGCAGCAGCTCACAGAAATGGTGTTCTCATTCTTTTCTGTTTGTATTTCTTTAAGGTCATTCAAAACATTGTATTTTGTTTGTACAAAAAACCACCTTCACCTGGGCTCTGCTTGCTTTCGTTATCACTACATCACTGAGGTGGCCACCCATGCAGCTCAGAAAGGCTGAGATGCGATGGGATGGACGATAACACTTGCTGCTGGTTTTACTTCCTTTGGTTTCATCTTCACTTGACTTCCGCCAAGGTACAGTAGCTGCTGAGCAACAGGGGTATGAATTCCAGCCTGCTGGCAGCCCCGTTCATCGTAGCCTAACTGTAGGCTTAAAGCTCTGACTGGATGCAGGCGAGCGCGGCATCGTGCAGCTGCTGAGCGACTTGTGATGGAGTGCATTACTTAAGTTGGTTACAACATCGCCTTGGCATAGCAGAATGCTCTGAGGTTCTGTTTCATTCTTTGCTCTTTTCTTACTTACTGGCGTAGTTACTGTTGTTGTGCCTTCAGTTGTCACATTGTTTGTGATTTATGCATTGTAAGCAATGCCAAATAACCTTTTTTTTGTCAGTGTAAGTGGCTTTGTGGGTGTAATTCTTGCTCTTTCACACTCCTGATTCTCATTTGTGGCAAGTGTTCCATCTTCACCAGTTAATATTAATACGGTAGGTGCTCTGTGATTGAATTTTGGTTATCCCAATCTAACTACCCAGTGCAACAGATTTCAGACAGTAACTGCATCTTCTAGGCACAAGTTAAACACAAACTGCTCTTCCTTAGGACCAGCTGTGCCAAATGTCAAATAGCCTGAGTTTTTGAGTGTACCTTTATCATCTTCAGCTCGCACCCAGAACACCCTGTAGAGGTGTTCTTTAATCTACTCTCAAAGATCATTAGCTTAAAAAGCACATGAGTAAGAAGAGATGCACAGCATTAATAATTTATCATAGTCAGTAGTCTAAAGCTGACAAGTATTTGAGGGTTGTATTGTAGAAACACTTAAGAGAAGCTGTTTACTTATACTTGGTGTATTTTTTAATGAAATACTACCTTTTTTCTTTTTCCTGTAGGTAATATATCCTCCACATTCAAAGCTTACAGATAAAGAGGTAAGTAGTGGTTGCTGTGTAAATACGTCGTTTGGTTTTAGTTTAGAAATACCAGGAAATGTAATTGTCCTTTTTCTTTTCCCTACTCTTTAGAAAACCAATATTTGCTACTTGTCTTTTCCAGATTCCAACTCAGGTAAGTGCTTTTTCTGTTCTGTAGTCATCTGCTGTTGGACTAAGCTGTTCAACAAGTATAAATCCAGGGTTTGGGATTAAATCCTTTCTCTGGAAACCTTAATATTGCAGTACAGGAAAGTTGCAGTTAAGTATAAAACTATGGTTGTTTGTATTGCAGTAAGACCTGAGAATTCTTTATTTACTATGGGTGAAATATCAGGAATGTATGCAAGACCTTCCTGGTGATGTGCATGCAGAAGTTCTAAGGTACTTTGCAAGTATATAGAAGAGATACATATCTCTTTTAAACAAAGTAATATTTTTGTAATTGAGGAGAAAAGTGTAAGCCCAGAGTTTGGAAGCAGATGGAAGGGTCTGGGGCATTCTTCTAGTAAATATGTAAATCTAAGTGTGTATTTCCTAAATTCCTAACAGTGAAACGGACTTTTAAAAATCAAAAGCATTTAGGAGAACAGTCCTGAAGGAAAAATACATGTAATTTAAATTTTCTATTCTTCCCTTTTTTGCCTTGTGTGGTCCTGCTTGCTGAATTCTTTCATCCAAATTTTCCTGTTCTGCTGCCAAAGAGGAATTAGAGGCATGTGGCTGAAGGCTTGGACCACCTGCAGAAAGAGATGGCAGAAGTACAGACATGTCTTTTCACATTTATTTCTTTATCACAGTCAAAACCTGTAGTAACACATTTGTCCCCATAACTGCATGTACTTCTTGCTTTTGATTCCTCTGCAGCATAACACTTCTGCTATGGAATGATGCAGATAGGTGCTTTCAATATGTAAGAGCTTTCTGGTATACATAATATTAAAAAAAAAAAAAAAAAAAAAAAAGCCTCAGCTCTTTTCTCCTTTGTCTTTATGTCATTAAAATTAAGGTATTTTTTCTTGATATCCGGTGGGTAAACAGAGGAAAAGCTTCTGTTACTGAAAATGAGTTTCCTTCTGACTCATGGGTAATAGTTACAAATTTGTCCAACCTTTGAAAGGTACCGAAGGTACAAAATAATGCATTAGGATCTAAGGCTGCTTTATTTATTAATTTTGCCCTTACAAGAGCGGTAAGTAAAATTATTAATGGAGTCCTAGGCTTGCACAGAGAACCACAAGAGAACAGCTTACAGGTCAACTTCTGCATTAGCTTGCCCCAGCTTGGTATACAAGAAACAAAGGTTAAATGCTTTCATTGAAGAGAGGAATGAGATTTGTTCAAGATGAGCAGAACTGTACAGCCAGACCAAGAAAATGTGTAAGAACAGTTGGGCAGCTGTCAGTAGAGCTGTTCAGGGATGTAATCTGAATCTTCAAAGCTAACAAACTCACAAAGTAGAGTTTATGTTTCTTCTTCTTGTTTAAAGAAAGCTATTGTTGCCAAAACCATCTAATTGTTTACTTAAAACATATATGAATATGTATCTATAAACAGGCACAATTGGAGTGCATTTCCCTTTTTCTGTGGTGAAGTTGAAATGCTGAATGCTGTCGTTTGCTGTTCCCTCTCTCTTCTCCCATTAGGTTGTCTTGGCGACACGCAGTTTTGCTTTAGATTTCGACGGTCTTCTGGAAGGAAAGCTTCTGTGTGTTGTTTCCTGGACCACTTGGATAGAGATCTACCAGTTTACTTAAAGGTTGGTAATAAAACAATAAAAGTAATACTTCTGTGTGTGTGTATATATATATATAAAAGATCTTCTGAATGATGTCAGCTACTAGGCTAATCCTGAAATTCGTGCATGAAGAACAAAAACTGGGTGTTCTGAGGGAGGAAGCTGAGCAGATTCACTCATTTATTTATTTATTTTGGTAGTATGTTGTTATTGCAACAATTAACTAATAATCACTTCCTCTGACTATTCCTTGAGTTTTCATGGATTTGGGGCTGTAACAAATCAAATCAGTGACCAGAGCTGTTCTGTTAGTGTCCGGAGGCCTGGAGATCAGATTGTCAAATCCCTTGCATCTGAAACACTTCATAACTTTTTAAAAACAGAATATGAAACAGAAACAAACAAATGCACAATGCTGAGAGGTCTCTCTCCGTTTTGTTTCCCCTCCACCCTCCTTTTTTTTTCTTTTCTTTGCTTTTTTATTTTTATTTTTTAAGATGGAGGCATTATCAAGAGTTCATAGGCAAAAAGTTACCAGCATTTTCTTATGGAACACTGAAATACCGAGGCCTTTAATTATGCTAGTGGGAGTCTGATTCTCAGTTCTGTTTATGTGGCCATTATTTGAATTCCTGCATGTAAGAAGTATGAAGCTGATGTTTTATCACTGAGAGCTTGCTACTACTCCAGCAGTCTTTTGTAACGCTGACATATTACGTACCAGTTCTTGTCTTTTCAAGTTTCCCATTTCTTTAAGTTTTGTAGCTGCTAACATCTTTTTAGTGCAACTTTGCAAAATTTAAGTGTTGACCTATTCGTCTGGCAATTTATTCTAGTTTTGCTTTCAGTGGTATTTCAAGAGAATGTAGATAGAAAAATAGCAAAGCCACAAAGGACAACTCTTTCCACACAGTGGTACTTTGTCTTTGAAGTGCTCATAAAGATTTTAATGTCAGTAAACAGAATAATCCTTCTTAACTGTATCTAATCAGTTTGAGTTTGCATGTAAATAGCCCTATAGAATCCTTTGAAAAGACAGAAAGTATCAGTGTGATACATTGAATTCTTTTGGTTCTTTTGCAGAAAGATCCAGCGTATTACTATGGCTATGTGTATTTCAGACAAGTTCGAGATAAATCATTAAAAAGGGGCTATTTTCAGAAGGTAATTTTGATTTTCGTAGGAAAATATGTATTTTGAAGATAATTGCTTTTCAGAGACATCAGGGAAGCAGAATATCTTGCTCCTGTAGCTAAATGCTGTGGTGGTTTGTAGTAACCTGGTCTGAGTTCCCTGTGAGCGTGAGTATGTTCCAGCTCCACTGTTAGAAGAAAACATTACATCAGAACAAGAAGTTGGAAACTGGGGAGATTTTTCTTTGCAGTTGATTGTGGTCATGTGTGGTTGGTTTGTACGTGTGAGGAAAAGTCACGTTTTATGTTCTCTGAGGATAACAGTTAGAGCTGCGATAGAAGGTGTTAACTTAGAGTGACATCTTTGTGCTGTTATGCTTTATTGCAGTCACTGGTCCTCATCAGCAAGCTGCCATATGTCCATCTCTTTCGCACCGTGCTTAAGCAAATAGCACCGGAATATTTTGAAAAAAGTGAGGCTTTCCTGGAAGCAGGTAGTGCTGCTGTTACGTTGTTCCAGAAACACTCCTGTAATATCTCCTAACTGCTTTGGGGAAATAGCAAACTGCCACATCTGAGTTTGTGCATTTGTCTTTCTGCAGGGTAGAGGGCTGAAACTTCAGCAAACTGGTTTGATTTCTGTCTAGATAATTGAACAGAACTGATCTGATTCTGGATCCTTTTGGGGGGGGTGCAAGATCCCCGTGGGGGCTAGCAGTACAAGCAGCTGACATCAGTCCTTAATTTGTACTCACCACAAGTTGAATCCTTTCAGGCATTCTGACAAATGTTCTTAAGCAGCTGTACGTGTGTTGTCTTCTTGGGCTGGCAGGGAGTGTGTGTGTTTGTTTTACCCAAGCAGGAGCAGCAACAGGGCAGTGCTGCTAAATATTCCCTCAGTCTGCCCTATACAAAATTCCTGTCTTTGTACTTATAGTGAACAGAAATTGGTGGAAACCATTCTTGACAAAAGAATTGTTTGTAATCACCTGTAGATAAACAGAGTTTTTTGACAGTATTACAAACACAGTAAGTTCTGGAAAAAAATAACTACTAGAATTAGCAGTGATACTAAATTGTTTTCAAGAAAATGCTAAAAAGCTTGGTAAGCAAACTTTATTATTATTATCTCCAAAGACTTTTTTTAATTCCCCCTAACTACTTGCATCTCTCTTTCCTATGATAGCTATTTTTGTATGTGTGTTGTCCAGTTTCTTCATATGTACTTTTTAAGGGTTTCTGTAATGGTCTTTCAATGAATTGTGAACCAGGTTGCTATAAAAGGAAGACAAGACAATAGTGTTTTCTTGAAATGAAAACCTTCACAGTTCTAATGAATACGTGAAGAATGTCATCTGCGCTGTAAGACTTCTCTAGAGTATGAGTGAAGAAAATATAAATAACACTGTTGAGGTATTAGAACTAATTTACGATTTCAGTGTGCACTAAGATGACTGCAATACCATGAGTTACTGTGCATTCAAACTAGTTATAAATTGTTCTTAGTCCATTTTTATTTTTCTTTAAGTCTGCAGCGATGTTGATCGTTGGCCACCACCAATTCCAGGGGAAGTACTACACTTGCCTATTATGGGTGTCGTAATGAAGGTAAGAACTTCAGCACAACCTTTCTCTGATGATGTTTTCCTCCCCACTTACTGTGTATGTACTCACTGTACTCTGCCTTGTTTTCAGTGTCTCATACTTGAGAATAGGAACAGACTTACGCTCCATTCTTGATTAGGTTCCTTGATTAGGGAGTAATCTTTTTTAGTTCTTGTGGACATTAGAGAGATGTTTCCAGATCACTACTAGTGCAGTGTCTGTATTAATCTTCTGGTATTTGCAGGAGATTAGCTGGATTTGCTAGTTATATTTGCCAAACAAAATACTAAGTATCACTTGAAAATACTGAGAATTCAATTCTGGTCAAGTAAAATGAAAAAAAAAACATAGGATCATTTGGGTTGGAAAAGACCTTTAAGGTCATCAAGTCCAACTGTTCACCCAGAGCTGCCAAGTCTTCTATTAAATCATGTTCCCAAGAGCCACACCTACAAATCTTTTAAATAATTTTGGGGATGGTAACTCAACTGCTTCCTTGGTCAGACTGTTCCAGTGCTTCACAACCCTCTCTGAGGAAATCTTTCGTAATATCCAACCTAAACCTCTTCTGATGCAATTTGAGGCCCTTTCCTCTTGTCTGGTCACATTATTGCTTGGCAGAAGAGACCAACCCCCACCTGACTGCAGTCTCCTTTGAAGTAATTGTAGAGCCTGATAGAGTCTCCCCCGAGCCTAAGTAACTTCCCGAGCTGCTTCTCCTAAGACTTGTTTTATAGACATTTTACCAGCTTTGATGCCCTTTTTTGAAGAGACTCCAACACCTCAGTGTCTTACAGTGAGGGGCCCAAAAGTGGACACAGTATTTGTGGTGCTGCCTCACCAGGAGTTGAGTACAGGGGGGCAATCACTTCCCTAGTACTGCTGGCCACACTAATTCTGATAGCAGCCAGGATGTTGTCAGCCTGTTAGGCCACCTGAGCACACTGCTGGTTTGTATTCAGCTGGCTGTTGACCAACACCCACAGGTCCTTTTCTGCCAGGGAGCTTTCCAGCCACTCTTCCGTCAGGCTGTGGCACCATACAGGGTTGTTGTGACCCAAGTGAAGGACGCTGCCCTCAGCCCTGTTGAATCTAATACAGTTTGTCTCCACCTATCAGTCCAGCCTATCCAGATCCCTCTGTGGAACCTTCCTGCCCTGTGGATGTTCTGTAGAGCAAGTTAAAAATTGTACTGTGTGACATTGTCTTTAAATGTTGCAGTTTGTCTGTAAGCATTTATTTTAGGTCACTCCTGGTTTCAATACAAGGAAAATGAATTATTTTCTCTCTTTCTTTCAAAGCTGCGAGTTCCGACATATCGTGACAAGCCTGGAACGACCCCGATAGTACAGAATATGCACCAGGTAGAGATCAGATGCTGCTGTTGTGTATAGCTCTAAGACAAAGCTCAACAGTTCTCTTTGTTGGTTTTGTTGTGCTTTTATTTTTTTGGTTACTTGTTCATAAAAGCTTGGTAGCAAATCCCCACATATTTTGGTGATAATGAAATTCAGTGTCTTTGAAACTTCAAATAGAAGAGCCTGGTGTTGGATTCTTCGTATGAAAGATGTTTAAAGCCAATTACACCAGGCTCTTCAGGAGATGACGAGTTGTCTGCTTTTGGGTAGGGATAGCTGGCTAGCAAAATTAACAACTTAAACATCCTTTTAATGGGTAAAACTGTACTAAACTATTTTTGGAGGACAAAAAACACATTCAAATTCTTTTTCCATGGAAGATGGTTGTAGAACAAATCTGTCTGTGTCTTCTTTCATATGCTGTGCAGCTCTTGTTTGAAACAGCATCAGTGTGTTGTATCACTTTAGCACTGAAAGCTGTATGCCTGTGTGGGGAGGTGGTGTTAGGAGAAACTTTTAGATTAATAAAAAGTTACTTGTGGACATAATGTACTACACACTGCAGTAGTTATTAAGTACAGTAGTGGGATATAGGGTACGTACTGTCTACTGTCTGTAAGCATTAAAGGAAAAGTTTTAATTAATAGCTGTCATGACTAAAAAGCTAGTACTGTGATGTCTTTTAGGCAGATGCTCAGATCTCTATGACCTTACCAACTGTTCATGAAGTAGATCTTTTCAGGTAGGAATTTGAATTAATTTATTCCTAACTGTGAATTTCCACCAGTTAAATATTAATGAGGATTCCATAATACGTAGCTCATAGGTCACAAGCTAATGCTTATCAGTGTTATTTTTAATACTCTTTTTCTCTAAAGCTACCTAAAAAAAGAATTCAGGTAACGTACAGCGTGAAACTGAAATAAATAAGCAAGTCTGTTGAACATTACCTTTTGCAATGTTATTTTACATTTTTCAACCAATTCAGATTCTCTTGGAAACCTTGTTTTCACTCAGTCAAATATGTATTCCTTCTGGTTATGTTAAATGTACTAAAACCCCTCAATCTCATTTTAGGTGTTTCTGTCCAGTGTTCTTTCACATTCAGATGCTGTGGGAACTGGTGCTGCTGGGGGAGCCGCTTGTTGTCATGGCACCATCGCCAGCAGAATCTTCAGAAACCGTGTTGGCACTTGTGAGGTAAGTGTGGTGGAGCTGCAGAACAGATGACCAAGTGAGTCACTGTCAGTGGCAGCTGGGTGCCACTTGGGTGTATCTGAATATAGCAAAGCCTTATACATTTTAATTTCGATTTTTCTGTAGTGAACTTTCCATTGCACAGATACAACAACTTCTTATCTTTCTACTCTGCAGTTGTATTTCACCATTAAAGTACTGCAGTGATTTCAGGCCATACTTTACCATACACGACAGTGAATTCAAAGAATACACAACCCGCACACAAGCTCCGTAAGTAAACCAAACTTTGTTCTGAGGGTGTCTTTCAAAGCCGCTTGTAACCACAAATCTGCTTTAAGCTATTCTGAATTTTTGTTATTAGGGAGTTGAGACTGCTTACTGTAAGATAATTCTTAAAAGTATACAGCAGTTAGCTACTCATGTTGTCACTAGTTGAGGCAGTGCATCCAGAAATGAATTACTTGCACTCAATTTGTCAGAAAAGCATTGAAAACACTTGAGAAATTACCTTTTATTAAAAAAAAAAAAAAAAAAAAAAAGCATGAATCTCACATCTCCTTTAAGGACTCCTTGTAACTTACTGATGTCCTACTTTCATTTTGACAGCATACACCTACAATATTTCTTACGTTATTTAAATGCAGCTTGATGTGGGTATAGGCTGTGTCTTAGATTTACTGATCTTTTTTTAAACTTTTTTTTTTCCTAATGTCTGAACAGACAGTGGTTGTTGTGTTAGCTTTTGTGGTTGGTTGTTTTTTCTGTATTTTCCTTCTCAATTTAAAACAAAACAAAACAACAAAAAACCCAAACAAAAACCATTGCCAGAGATGCAGCAGTGGAAAAAGATCTAAATGTAGGCATTGAGCTTACAGTTGTATTCCATGGGGATAGTTATGCAGTATGTAATTTAATTTCTAAAAATAATTTCAAGAAGAATTAGCTAAACTTCAGCCACCCATATTGTATCAATACATGTGTAGCAAATAGAAAGATATTAGGAAGCTTCGTATGTGAAACAGAGCTGGAATTTCTCTTGCTTTCTTATGAAAAATAAAAACACGAAAGGATTGGAAATAGGCAGTGGCTCAAAGAAGGGTGCTTTTGACCATGCACAAAATGGGCAGGAGATGTGCTAATTCTGTGTGCTTAGGCTATGCTTAACACCCCTAAGGTTGTGCCTCTTGAGAATCAATTTGTTTCTTATGTTGATTGTTTTTTCTTGTGACAGTGATAAGAACATAAGATTAGCCATCACAAATCGAGTACAGCAGAATAAAGTGTTGAGGTGTTTTTATGGATAATGGTCTTCATTGTTGTTTTGGAAAAGAGAATATAAACCATGTGTGATAATATGGAGAAATTGTGAACAATATTTGGAGACCCCAGTGAGTTTAAATGAATAGTGCTAATGAGTTAAGTGGGATTGTATAAACATCAAAAATAATGGAACTGAATGGATCCAGATGGATGTGGTTGAACAGCAGTAAGTTTCAGAAGAGGTTTGATAGTGTAGGCTGAGTCAGTGATAAACAAGAGAAGACTTCAGTGCAATTTGGTACTGCCTGTTCTATGCTGCAATGAGGCTGAGAGGTGAAAACTGCTATTTTCATAGCCCAGACATGATACTGAGCTACAGAGCTGTGTGTTCAGATTTTTTTTTCCTGCCTCTGAATACCTAATGAGTTTACAAAACATGTATTGCTACAATCAGCAAGTGGAGGGAGGAATGCGAGTCAAAAATAGGTGAAGAGGAGCACAGATGTTTATGCCTGCTTGTCGTCGTAGTATGAACATACTTTCCTTTTTCTCCCCACCTTTCCCTAAGAAATAGGAAACTTATTAAGAACAGCATTCATGGCGTAACAAAATCTGAGACTTTTAGGACCAATCTGAGGAAGTGACAATAATCTATTTTATTGCAGTAGTTCCAATGAGGTTGCAGCTGTACTCTCCTTAGCTAGAGTGTGGTTATAAAATGGTTGGCAGCCACTATATGGAAAATTACAGCACTAAAATGATGTAATCATAATATAAATCCCAAATTCTGCAGCCCTTTGCTGTAATGGCAGCCCTGTGGTCTTACTGCCTCTTGTTCTCTGGCTGTCTGTATGCATCCTCAAAGCCAGATTGTAATGAGTAGATGGGAAAACCTGAGAGGTTGCAGGCTTGGGGGCAATGCTATTAGCATTCTTGTACTTCTCTGCCTGATAATTGCTTTCTAATAAAGGACACTGAAGTGTTGGAAAGGAAGCAGAGCAGCAAGTGTCTCTTTGCCTCGTGTTGTCATCTGAGTGGTAGCTCAACTGAAAAGTCTTGTATTGATATGCATACAAAATTACTACAAGGTTTGTCATAATCAAACCTTGAAACATAGCAATTACCCTTTCTAATGTAGGGTCAGATTCCTGATCATTTAAAACAAACAAAATCCACAGTAATAATTCAGGTAATACCCTGTTCTCATTATTTTAAGTAGGCAGCATAGAGCTGAGAGTCTCAGTAGAAGGATGGGGGGTTGGACTGATCTCTGGAGGTCCTTTCCAACCCCTACAGTTCTGTGATTCCATACAGCACTTCTATTGCTGACTTTCACACACCTGTGTAGCCATTTTCTAAACCTTGGAAACTTTGGTAAGCTCATCTTTACCTGTAACTTAAATTGTAACTTTTGAAAATCAATACAAAAATGAAATAACTTCAAGTTAAAGCCTTTTGTGTTCACTGAGACACACGTTCTTGCTGTCCTGTTTTAAACATTGTCGTTGTTCTTCTAGACCATCTGTTATTCTAGGGGTGACAAATCCTTTTTTTGCAAAAACTCTCCAGCACTGGCCCCACATCATCAGGATTGGAGATATTAAGCTTCCAGGTACGGCATAAATGTCTTCTGCAATCCTGTCTGACAAGATATGTGTGCTTGTTTATGAAGAAACATGTCATTTGGTTTGATGAATTTAGTTTATGTTTAACCATGTGTAAGTTTTCATTCATACCAAGTTCTGTATCTGTGTTGAGAAACATTGTTTCTGTTTAGGATTTAATAAATCAGTCACAGCAAGTGCGGAGAAATGTAGGACCCATTAAAAAAGCTGTATTAATAAATTAATCCTGTAATATTCCAGTAGTTATTGATTGGTTATGGTAGGCATTTTAGTTGCATAATTGAGTGGAGTTTTAATGTAATACTTGGTATTGCAGATTGCAAGTCTGTAATAAAATCCTGCAGAACTGCAGTTATGGCATGGGATTCCTGCACACAGCTGTTTGTGTGGCTGGTTCAGTGCTGCAAGTAGGAGGCGTATAAATACCTGGTTAGGGTCATGCATCATAAAATCTGTAACAATGAGCTATGTTGCATTTACCACAGTAATTAAGGATAGGTGCTGTGCTCAGTGTTAGTAAGGAAGTTTTTGCTTTACTTCAGAATACATCATTTCTGTCCAAGCTTCAGAATGCTTCTTTCAGATGGAGAGAAGGGAGGAGAAAAGCAAAATGCTGCCTGTTCTGTGGTTAGGATCTGGAAACTACAGTCTTCCTTTTCTTTTTTTTTTTTTTTTTTTTTTTTTCCTCCTTTTCATCCCACTCTGCAGTTCCTGCAGGATTTCATACCATTATTTTTTCTAAAGTCAAACATCCAACCAGATAAAAGGGAAGTTCTGGCTGCTGAGCTTCCAGGATTGTTAACAGGTGGCTTTGAATGTTTTGGCAGGTGATGTTCCAAAGCAGGTGAAAGTGAAAAAACTGAAGAACCTAAAAACTTTGGACTCCAAACCTGGTAATAAAGTCACCTAAGAGTTAAATCACCAGTATTTTTAGTTCAAAAGAAGCACAGTTTCCTTTGGCTATATGCTGCTGCCTTTTTTCTTTAGGTGTTTATACCTCTTATAAGCCATACTTGAACAAAGACGAAGAAATTGTTAAACAGTTACAAAAGGTAATACTGTAAGTCTCTTAATGGCAACTGTATTGCATGCTGCCCTACCCTGTTCTCAGTTAGAGCTGAGCTGTGTCTGCATAATCACAATGAAACTGCATTCTGATTCCTTTGCCCCAATTCGTGACTGAATAGATACTTAGATATTCTCATTGTAGGAGAAAGGGCTTCTTGTTAGCTGTTTGCATAACTAAGTGAACTGTAAAATTCAAGAAGCTTTATAATTTAGGTAATTTAAGTGACGGATCAGTTCATCTGTTTTGACCTCTTCACCTTGCTGCCCCCCCTCCCGACCTCTTTGGTCCAGAAATTTCATGCATGTTCAAGAACCAGAGCTTCCAAACTTGTAACTGAAAATCAGCCACTGAAGGGCTGATCCTGTTGCTTTGTTTCCATGTTTCAGCATAGGGAATGCAATAAGTGAGCTTATGACAAGTGTACACACAACTACTGGAATAAATATTATTTTTAAAAAATACCCTATTTACATATCTGTAATAACAGCCTTTTTGTGATTTTCTTTTTAAGGGTGTACAACAGAAACGTCCTACAGAAGCACAGAGCGCGATTCTTCGGCGGTATTTTTTGGAATTGACAGAAAGTTTCATTATTCCTTTAGTAAGTTGTCAGACTTTGTTCTTACAGTGATTTCTTAAGGTAGCTGGGGGGATAATACAAGTAATTTTTCTCCTAACACAGAGCAGATTTCCAGAAACCTCTGCAAGATCAGCTGGCTCTAGAAGATGCTATTTAAATTCTTACAAAGGAGAGACTGACTTGAATTAAAGGCAGAGATGCATCTACTCACTGTCTATCAGGGTGTCACACATTTAAAAAAAAAAAAACAATTTTGCTGAATCAGAATAATTTAGTTTACAGCATCTTGCTCTTTGGCAAACGGCAGGTATCTGTTGTTTGGCTCTTTAAACATGGTGTTCTTCACCTGTTCAGGTCTCCTCAGCTAAGTTGAGGAGGCAAATTTTGCCTGATATCTAATCAGGACATGAGATTTGTTGGAATGCTAAATGTTCACTACGTTGTTTTTAATTCTTCACTGAAAAGAGAGTTGGCTGAAATAAACTTAAATATGGGATTTCTTATTTACTGTAATAGTAAAAGCTTACCAGCCCTGTAATTGGAAATCTTGCTCTACTGGCTACAAGCTAATGGCACAGCTTTATGCTGACAAACAAATACTGAGTTGAGGTTGTTGAACCCATGCAGACTAACAGTCTGGGGGGCTTTGACTAGCACTGAAATTGAAATCTGCCATCTCTTTTATAACCAAATTGGATAATGATAGATGTGTTTTAATGTGCTCTTACTTGGCATTTGGAGTTACAAAGTCCCAAACACTTCTGTGCAAAGTTAAGGCATTTCTCTGGACAAGTGCTTAACACTGGGAAGCGATACCTCAAGCATTAGATTTTATATATCTGCTATTTCCTTCAAGTGCTCTCTAATCACTTTGTGGATCACCTGAACTTTTCAGTGTTTTAGAGCATGCCGTGATCAGATTGAATTTCTGTTTGCCCTTGGATGTTAACAATTAGAGGAGTTTTTCCTTATTATGTCTTTTATCTTTTTGAGATAGGATGGGCACATAGGGTGAACCTAAATCCTTTCTCTGGCATATCCACTGTTGTGTTCAAACTTGCACTTCAAGCAAGAAAATGAATTAATTTGTTACAAGTCTTAAATACACAGGTTGAGATCACCCTCTACATTCTTTGCATCAAGAAAAATACAGGGGGAGCTTTGTTTTCTCTAAAGATGGAACCAGGCTTTTCATAGCATTATCAGAGCTGGTCATGTTCATGGATCAAAACATGTGACTGTTTGCCTACAGATTTTAAAGATGAATAACAGGTTGTGTCAACCTGTTTGTGTGATCTGGCAAGGAGGAGCTGCCTTCTGTAGTCAGAGCTTAAGCTTGGCTCTCCCACTGGCTGCCAGTGCCATTGCCAAGCATTGTTACTGCAGAGCAGCCCACAGCTGGTGCAGCAGCTGGACTCTTAAGACACATTTCCAAATACTTGATACAAGAGGTTGTTGTTTGGAATCACCCCTGATATGAAGGTAATGAAGGTACCTGTGGACTACCAAAAAAACCTGTTAGCTAGTGGCTGCAGTTCAGTATATATTCTGTATGTTTCCTTCCTTTCCTGCTTTGCCTTTTCCATGTGTTGTTATAGAACTGAGCAAATGTCAGTTTCTATAGCTGAGGAATATAAATGGAATTAGATAAGCTCCTCCTTATATTCTTATATGGTAAATATGCATTGACCCCACCCTGTACCAGTACTTAGAAAACTCTGTGGTCACAAGTGATAAGTAAATATACACGTGGATTGTGTATCTTAAATACTGCTTATGCAAACAACCTTTCTTCTTCCTTTCTCTAGGAACGTTACGTGGCAAGCCTAATGCCTTTGCAAAAATGTATATCACCATGGAAGGTATGGGAAATACAGTTGGAATGAGATGGAGATTGATAGAGAAGACAGTTACTGTATGCTAATGATCTCTTTTCTCTTTTTATAGAGTCCACCACAGCTGAGGCATTTTAGCCAGGATGATTTCATGAAGACGCTGGAAAAAGCAGGACCACAGCTCACCTCTGGTTTAAAAGGAGACTGGATAGGACTTTACAGGTCATTTATTTCATCAACATTAAAAACAAAACAAAACAAAAAAACCATCAGTTATATCACTATTCTTTTCCTGAGCAAGCTTATCATCGGTATTGGTTTAAGTAAGACTTTATAAGACTTTTTGAATCTATGATTCAATAGAAATTGAAGATGGTTGCTGTAGTTTACTTACTTAAATCGGCTTCTCTCACCCATTAATCGTTACCACGAGATGCTGCTAACACTGTGGGCATCTGTGTGCAAGTATTATTGGCATGGCTGTGTGGAGGGAAGGTCTAGTTCTAACTTGCTATTTCCCTTTCAGTCAAACACTAAAATGGGAACATTTAAAACTCAGCCCTGTTTTGTTCCTGACAAAATTCCTGAAGTTTATTGTCTTTCAAACATCTTTTCTTTACTTGTTTTTTTTTTTCTCAATCCTTTTCTGGGTTAACAGAAGCTACTGTTAAACTCTACTTCAGAATGCTGCATTCTTCAGACAGTGAACAAAGGAAGGGTCCTAATACCTCCTCCAACTCAAATGTAACTGTAGTACTGTTGAAGACATAGGAAACTTGTCAGAATTTGAATTATAAAATTTATTTTTCTTCTGTGTTTTTCCAGGCATTTTTTGAAATCACCGAACTTTGATGGCTGGTTTAGAAGCCGGCAGAAAGAAATGACGCAGAAGCTGGAGGCACTTCATTTGGAAGCACTCTGCAATGAGGTTAGAAAAATGGGTGGCTGTGGTTATTGATTCCTGCTGCATCCATTGGTTAGACGTAAAAATGTCAAGAATTTTGTCAAGTACATTCTAGCAAAACATGAGTTGGCTAACCAAGTACAGACTAGGACTAACATTTAAAAAAAGGGCAATATGAAATGAATTTTACTTTTGTATAATGACTAATCACGTGTAAAACATCTCCAGTACTTTTTTGGTTGTAAGTAATAGTTTCTATTTTACTTTTTTCATCTTATTTGATGATGTTATCTCATTCAATTTCCATCCTTGATGTTTTATTTCTCATAAACTGTGGTACAGCTCAAAGTGTGTTACAATGTTTAAGGTATCACAGCAAATAGACAACTACTTAGTTATGGATGGGAAATAAGCCTTTAACTGATCCAAAATTAGAACCTGAGAAGTGAAATTTGTTGTTGATAAACAATAGAATGCTACATATGTGAACTTCTGTTGTAAGATCCATCCTTATCCACTACGTGGTAGGAACCCCTAATGTCCCGACACTATTTCAATCTTTCATCATGCTGGCTAACGTGATTTGGTAAATATTCACTGCCATTTTGTGTTCTAGATGCTATTTAATCTAAGCCTGTTTGGCATGAAACTTTTTATATTTGTTTGTATTGTGGTTGGATCCTGCCATCCTTTTATGCTAAGGGCTGAGCAAATACGCAAATAAAACTGATTCTGTAGTTCAGAGACAGTATGTGGGTAAAATGAATTAAGCAAATGGCATAAGAACAAGGGAAAGGAGACCCACTCTGAACAGTAGGTGCACATTAATACTATTTTTGAAAATTGCATGTATTGTCATAAATACATCAGTGCTTAATTTTTATTTTTGTTAGAACTTGGTTTTCTGGAGTCAGAAGCATTCTGAAGTAGAAACAGTTGATCTGGTCTTGAAGTTAAAGAATAAACTGGTAAGTGAATTCAATATGGCTAAAAGATGTCTTGCTAAGCAAGGTGGAGGTATTAAATAGTTGAGCTTATAGGTACTTAACAAAAATGATTTTTGATATTTAGGTTCCATAAATCAGTCATCTTGATTATTTTAAAACAAAGCACAAAACACTTCTACCTGAGAAGTCAGCCAGCTTCTCCATTCAGCCATTTGTGTTAGCATTACACAGATCTTGATTTGTTAAAACCACTTGGAGCTTCGTGACCGCTTTGGGAGGGGGCAAGGCTGAATACTCAGGGAAGCAGAGAACCAAACTTTACTGCGATTGCTGACAGTCCAACTGAGCATTAGTTCAGCTGGATGGTGAGAACACCTGACCAGATCAGCAGGTCACATTTTACTTTGTTAAAAAATGAGGAATTCATTTTCTGCATTTGCTAATATGTCGTTTTGGTGTGTTTTGAGGTAAACTGGCATTTTTGGCAGGTCATGTTTTGTTGTACCTTTTGCAGTTGCAGGCTGACAGAGAACATCTTCCTGTGAAAACTGATACGCTGAAGAAGCTGCAGGCACACATCCGTGATATTATACTCGCACTTCCAGATGACTTGCAGGACATCTTGCTCAAAACTGGCACAACGTGATTCCTGCTGGTGTGTGTTTGTGTGTGTGTGCAGGAAACAGGTGAATGTAGTATCACAGAACACAGTGGCTTACAAAGTTCAGGACGAAGATCTAACCAGTACAGTAACACTACAAATGGACTTTACGACTGCTATGGTCCACTGTAATATTCTCACTGTTTTTCTCACTTAAGTACCAGCGCAACTAAAGGAATTCCTGTGTCTAATAATGTTTGAAATAAGTGCTCTTAAAGACAAATCCGTGGCATCTGAAGCTATTCCACGGTGTAGGACCACAGTGCAGTGCTGGCACTGCAGAATGTTTTCTAATTGGTGCTGCTATACCCAATGCTGTTAACTCAGGGGTAAGCAATATTGATCCTGTACTGTCCTGTTGATGTAGTATCTGATTGCTTTCCTTTTTTAAAAAAAAAAAAAACAAAAAACAAACTGGCATAATATGTGACTTGGTCAGTACACCAAGTTATACGGGGGTATTCTACTGGTAAACCATCAACGGCTTATGAAACTGTTTCAGGGACAGCTGAAATAATCAGAATGGTTCTTAACTATATCTTCCTTTCACCTTCTGATCCTCTTTCCAAAGACCATATTAATTTAGCATCTTTAAAGAAGAGAAGGCAGCTGACAAACATTTCCCGAAGAGAAATTGCTTCCATTTGATGTTGGTTAATTAGGGTGCTTTTGCTCAAATGCCTTAAACAAATATCAAGTAACTGTATACCAGTTTGTGGTTTTAAACTGCTGATGTTCAGGATTTAAAGTGGCTCACTAGTGTAAATGTATTCATCACAGTGAACAGATTGTCGTTCTAATACAGAATTTAACATCAGTGATTTCAGTAGATAGCCAGTACACAGACTGTTTCAGCTGGAGACCATAGTCAGCCTCTGTCAGAAATTTTTATAAATATGTATTTTTTATTTTTTAGGTTTTAATTTTTACTTACAGCAATAGGGTCAGTGAGGAGCTAATGGGGTGGGGAGAAGAGGATGCTGACTTTAGCTGACAAAAGCCTATGGAGAGGTCAAACTGTGGCAAAGGAAGATTGTAGAGGGACATTATTTACGGTATATGCACATAGCAGATGTGCATGAAAAAGTAGTGTTCTGTACTAAGCAACAATTGTGATGCTTATCTTCTTGAGCAAGATTCGGTGGTATATTCGGACTCAGCTGCTCTACATGCAGGGTTATACCTTGACCAGTTTCATGTAGAATAAACTTGATGCTATCGTGGACGCACAGCATACACTTACATGACGAGTGGATCAGTTATCAAAAAAATCTACTTTTAAGTGCTTGGATGGAATTTTTAAAAGCACATGACCTTGTAATCCCGCTATAAGAAAATGCTTTTGTATAATAAGTATTTCATACCATCTTTCTAAAAATGTCTTATTTCGATACAAAGTGTCGTGACTATTTTTATGAAAATGTGTATTTTAATACTGTTATGGTTTGTATAGTTATTCATGACAAAAAGTTGTATGTATGTATCATGTTACTTAAACTGCACCACTTCAGCATTAACTTCTAACTTGGAATTTTGTTTGCACATCCTGATGAATATAATTTCTAATTCAGAAATTACTAAGTGGCCATTCTTAACATAAAGCTAACCTGGAGCACTGTGTAGTTCCTTGGAACAATGTAACCTGGTAACAACCACGATCAATATTATCACGACTGCAATACTTATTTTTGTAAAAGAAAATAAAGAGTTTCAGTTTTTGGAAGTTACATGACTTGGATCATGGATGTGACTTTTCTCCTTGATGTAAGCAAGGCTGCTCAGCAGCTTGTAGAGACTGCTGCCTTGTGGGACCTGGTGAAGCCATCTCCTTCGGGTGACCTTTAGGAGCTGATACTAGCTCAAATCCCTGAACCAGCTGCAATTATTAGAATCTTGTTCAAAAGAAAGGCAAAAGGAAAAGTTATATGGGGTTGTTTGCCATCTTTGTCAGTGACCTGTAATGCTTTTAGTGCTGGTAGTTCAAAAGGATCTTCAGTTAGAGCTGCAGGCCTAGGCAAAATGTAGGCGCAATGCTAGGACTGGTCTTTCTTTGTTGCAGGCATCTGATCTTGTCTCTCTGCAGTCCTTTGACGCTGGGTATGCATGTTTTAGCCTGGGATGCTTCAGCCATTAGTAGTGTTACAGCCATTAGTAGTGTTATAGCCAAGGAACTGAATCAGCTGCAGAAAGCAGTTGCCAGCTTGGACTGGAATTTTTCCATCCGTGTTTTTTCAGTTCAGTGTACTTAAAATATAGGTAAAAGAGCCTGTGGTAATCCTCATTCATCTGGGGCTTGAAGGCTAAATGACTGTGCAGGAACTTCTAGTTTTAGTAATTTTACCTTTTTTTATGTGACTTAAAAATCAAACCCTCAACTGGATGGTGGGGAGAAGAGATGCAGTCTCACTGTCTCTTTTTGGCTGGTAAGAGAGGAGATTTCTATAGTTGTGTTGTCTGAAAAGTTAATTTGTTGCCCAGTGTGCAATAAGTCAATAATCACACACTGAGACTCTGCTTATTTATTTTGGGTTTGCACAGCCTGGTGCTCGGTGGTTTCCCACAAGTCAAGCACCCCAAACGAAACTATCTGTGCTACAGACTTAGCAATTTCTCCAGTCCATCCTCCTTGGTTGGCAATTTACAATTACTGTATTGCTGACTGTACTTCCAGCACTATGTTGCTCAGGGGAAGGGTCTCACCTGGGCAGGGTTTTTTTTGACCTGCAGGTGTGATTTTAGTACTATAGTGAAGGTAGTTCAGCTAAAGATACATGAGTGCTGAGTTTTTCTTGCCAAGTGGGCCCACATCTTCAGACCATCCTGAATGATGTCCTCCTCAAGGCCTACAGGCCTGGGATGTCCCAGGCTAACAGATACAATTTACTGCTTTGACACCCGTCACAGAATCTGCTCAGTTTTTACAGTCAACCTTCAGCAGTCTGCGTTGGAAAGCTGTTACTAAAAGGATGCTAATGGTGACTGCTCCACAGAAATAGAAGAACTAACAATGTCAGTGCACTTAATGTCGTTTCAGGCAAACCGACCGTGGGTGATTCTGTCCTGGGCTGTGTCTGCACCCTGTCCGCTCCTTTGGAAGCAGCTGTGTAAAGGCCGGAATGGGTCAGCGTGCAGACACGGCCGTGCACTGAGGGACACTGCCTGCCCTGCAAAGAAACGCGGTTCTGCGATTGGTAAGGAAAGCGGAGGGCCGTACCTTTCTAACTGAATGCGTTTCTAACAGCACTGCAGCTGTCGGGGTTTTGGTTTCGCTGCCCGCCATCAGCCGGGACGCGTCTGCGGTGCCAGCATCACCGCGGTGCGAGCTGCGGAACGCACACACAAGAAAAAACGCTGCTGTCAGCCACGTTTAATGCACCGAGGGACGCCGCTGTTACCGCCTGCCACGCGTGCTGCCGGGCGCTACGGGAGGGCTCTCCGGGGCCGTTCTGCCCGAAACCCCCAACTTCTGTATCGCGCTTCCCGCGGCCCAGCGCCCGGCCTCAGCCGCCGCAGCGCTCCGGCGCGGCGTAGATCGCGTTTCCCGGCAGGCCGCGCTCCGCCTCGCCTCGCAGCGATGGAAGGGAGGGCTTCACTACGACTCCCATAATGCACCGCGGCGGTGAGGAGAGGAGAGCGAGGCGGGAGGCGGCGCGGGGTCCGCCGGGAAATGCAGTCTTCGCCGCCTTTCCGCCGTGCGGCGGAGGGCGGCGCCGCGGCGAGGGGATGTGGCTGAGCGTGACGCGATTCTGTCCGCGTTGGAGCCGGGGCGGCCGTGGCGAGCGTGACGTGGCAGAGAGCGAGCGAGCGAGCGCGGATCTCGGTCACACAGCCGCCGCCGCCGCCGCCGCTTGCGCCTTTATAAGTGGGCGCCGCCGAGCCCCGCCACGCTCAGCGCGCTGCCCGCTCCGCACAGCCGTCCGCCAGCGGAACCCGACGCCGCGCCCGCCCTTCCTCCGCCGCCATGGGCCTCACCATCTCCTCGCTCTTCTCGCGCCTCTTCGGCAAGAAGCAGATGCGCATCCTCATGGGTAAGGGCCGAGCGGCCGGGCCTGCTGCTGCCGGGCCCCGCACCGGCCTGCCGTGCCGTACTGCGCTGCGGCCGGGCCCGGCGGGGGGCAGGGAGCGGAGCGGCGTGGGGGTGGGGGGAGGTCTGTTGTACTGTGCCGTGCCCTTCATTTAGGGGCCACGGGAGGAGAGGGAGGTGGCCATGGGGCTGGAGGCGGCAGCCCCTTCCTCGACATCGCGCTACCGCCGCGGCCCGGAGCGGACAGTCGAGCGGAGGCGGGGGGGCCGCGCCGTGCCGCTCTGGGCCGAGCCTGCGGCGGATCCGGACACTGGGTCGGGGCGGCCGGCGGCGGCGGCGCTCGGGAAGCGCGGGCTCTGCGGCGCGGAACTCGGGCGCCTTCTGTTCTGCCGCCCGCCCCCGCCGTGCCTCGTGCGCCGGGCCGCGCGGCGCTTCTCTCGGAGCTCGGCTCGAGCGACCCGCTGCGGGGCGGCGGTTCCCGGCGCCACCCGACAGACGAAGCGGCGGCGGCCGAAGATTCCCACCGGGGGATCGCGGTTCAAAAGGTCACGGGCGGCAGCTCCGCGTTCCGCACTTCCTCCTCCGCTCCTCTTTTCCTTCTCCGCTTTACCGGATTGCGTGTGTCCGCAGCTGCGCGGCCCCGCGCCTCAAGCGTTCCTTGGCCGCTCTGCGGGCCGGCGCTGCGCCTCGAGCGGGGAGCTGGCTGAACTTGCCGGCTTGCGGTGCTGGGTCTGCCCGGCAGTCCGGCTCTCCTTGTGGCTCCGAAAGGTGTGAGACCTTCAGGTGAGCCCGGCTGCGACGGGAGGTGCTGTCTTGGTAACTGCGTGCCACAGAATAATGAGAGCAGGCACGCAATGCCAGGCACACCAAAACGGCCTGCGAGGGCTTGCGTTTCCTCACTGGTTTGTAATTAGTTCAGATCCAGCTTAGCTGTGACTTACAGAGTAGTGTTTCTTCTAGCTGGTTCAGCTGCACCTTTGTTGTTTTTTCCCCATCTTTGATTTCAAGGCTTTTACTGTATTCACATGCAAGGATCAGAGCATGAGACTGCTCCTGCCTTTTGGTGAGTGTGAGAGGAAACACGTCTGCTGTGTTGTGAGGAGGCTGTAGTGCAGGACCTAAATTGGCTGTTGAGAAGCAGAGTGTTGTATTGTAGAATGTGTAATTCATCTGTAACCATAAAAAAGAACCTCAGGATAACATCCTGCATTGCATATTAGTGCTTGGAGATGTCTGAACACTAGAACTGACTTAGGCCTTTCCTCAGTCCTACTCTTACATGTGTATGTCTGCAGAAGTCTTCACTCCTGGCTTCGTGTGCTAAAAAAGGAATGATACTCACTGTGCCCTCTGCAGTGCTGTGCCAGCTATCTTTTGCTGTAGCTGTGTGAGTGGTAACTGAGATAATAGCTACTCAGAAGCTTCAAATGCAGAGGTAATTATTGAATACTGAGTAGTGAGGGAGGGCCAGATTCTTTGGAAAGCGTGTTCTTGTACAGCTCACAACAACTTAACAATCTTCTGTTCTTCTTCTACCAAGGTAGACTTGCATTCTTTTGGCATTCTTTGTGTGTGTTTTCTTGAAACTGTGTTGAGAATCAGCCCTTCGTGGGCCCCAAAGAGTTATCCACTTGAAGCCAAGCCTGAAAGAGGAATAGTAGTACTTAAAGGATGAAGATAAGATTTGAGTGATCTGGTGTCAAGGTAGAAGAAAAGTGAAAAAGTGAAGGAATAACCATCTCTATTAAATTGGGACTCATCAACTTTGTTTGTTGTTAAGCAGTACTTGATGTATTGTGAGCTTTGTGAACCAATTAAAGATGGTAGGAGCTTCCCTCCCCCACCCCTCTTCTCCTCTGGTCATGGGAAACATTGATGTTGGAAGCAGCAACGTGCTGTGTTCTGTACTATCTGGAATCTGTGACTGCCAGAGCATATTGGTCTTGATGGGGTTTCCATTTAGAAAGTCAGTCCTCAATTCTTTTTGGTTTTATTTTTTTAAATTTAGTGCATGGATGTTTGTGTTATGGTGCCTGCAGCAGTTTGGTACTCAGTCACCAAGGCAGGAAGCTGGTAACTGAGGAGCTGATGTGATCACAGGGGTGGTATATGGGACAGCGAGAATGACAAGTCTGATGTTTAGAAGTGTGGTTGACGGGCTGTAAATGAAGCATTCTAAGGAGTGAAGGCCTTAGAACTGCATTTGTTTTCACAGCAGCTGGAAGTGCTGTAGGTGTAAATTCTCATTCTAGAGGAAGAGGATGTTTGACTTAAATTGTAACAAGTGCAAGTCTGTGCTTCCCGTCTGTGTATAACGGTCGGTGGTACAACTGCTGTAATGCCCACGTGGAGGTTGTTAGGCTGATGTGGTGGGCCAGAGGGAAGATCTAGGATTGGAAGTTCACATTGTTTGGAGATTTAAGGCTTCAGGTTTTAGTCTAGATAGTAACTTCTCTATCATGAAATTAACATGACGTAACTCATAGATTGACATCATGTTCCAGTACAAGTGTAAATGTATTTATTCTTGAAAACAAATGAGGCAGCAATCTTGTAAGCTGCTGAACCACGGAAGAGATGTTTCCTAGAGGCTCAAAACTTAAATTTGGTGTTGTGACCTGTTTGTCCTATGAAGGGCATCAATAAACTGAAATAAGTGTGAACAGATGCTCTGCTGTTGATAACTATTGATTATTTAGAGTT